GCAGGACATAGTAGTTTTCCCCATTTTACACCCAGGGAAACTGAGGCACACATGCCTGCTCACATCTGGTCAGGCAAAGTGGGGAAGAGCAAGATCAGATGTGGCCGGGACCCAGCTGGACACACTCTGGTCTTAGCCAGAGGCATCCCCAGCTGCCCCAACCCTGGTTGGGGTCGTTTCCCAGCACCAGCTTAGACACCAGGGGAACATCTCAGCTCCGTGCCAGTGCCGGGAAATCAAAACATCACATCTGTGAGGATCACCCTGGGTCTTTCTTCTGCTGCCCTTTAACGAAGATGATTAACGTTGAGATGGCACCACGGGAGCCGATGAGCCAAGGTGTTTGCTGGCACCAGGCTGTGCTTTCACGTGCAAAGGGACAGCGAACACCAGCTGATAGCGAGGGATGGAGAAAGCAGAGATCCTCCCTCCCCAGCTGCATCCCCGTGAGGGTGTCTCACCCACACCCGGCGCTGGCTTGGACAAACCCTTCCAAAATTAATCCTCCTTCTTAATCAAGGAAGACTAGGGGTTGCTTGGCTGGGCTGAGCAGCAGGTGGGGGTTGGAGGAGCCAGATTTCCTGAGGAAGCTGGATGGAAACAGGAGCACTGAAAGCTCCATCAGCACCCAGGTGGGTCTGGGAGCGTGCCGAGCCACGGCCACCATGCTCGGGAAGGACAGCTTGGGAAGTTGCTGTTTGGGGTGATACACGTAGTTTTGTAAAACCCAAGTGAAGATTCAGTCTTTCCTGCCTTTTCCTGCAGGGATGAAACCCAAACTCTCAGTATTGCACTCAAAAAGAGCAGTTTGCTCAGGCGTGGGTGCACAGCCACTGCAGGCTCACTCTGGCCAACATATCCTTCTGCTTCCATTGCTGGGTCCCTTCCAGCCTCTCCATAATCCTTCTTCCAGGCAGCCAGCTCTTTCCTGACCTCCAGAAACCTCCTTGTTCTTCTTCTCCTCCTCCATGTGCCAATGCTCCAAAGCCTCCTTCACCCACATCAGAGCAAACCAGAGCTGCTGCAGTGGTTTAGACAGTCCCCCAAGGACAGCAGGTCCTTAACCTCCTCCTGACATCAAGGAGGTCCCATGTCCATCTGACTGAGGAAGGGATTCAGTCAGTGTAACTCAACAAGCATTGAACATTTGGCCAAAAACGCACTCCCACTGCACAAGGAGGTACCCATGGGGTCTTGGTTAGAAAAACCACACTGGTTTCCAGCAGTGACCATAGGCAGAGCTAGCCCAGGTACCTCAGGGCAGAGAGCACAGGAACACGGTGGCCTTGCAGAGAGTTACATCAGGAGCTGAGTCCTAAACAGGTCGGTGAGATGTTGAAGATATACAGATACACCTAGAGTGAGGCATCGCTGGTGGCATGAAGGACATCCTCCTGGGATGTCCTTTCCTGCTTCTGAGATGTCCTGTCCTGCTCTTTCAATGTTCTGTCCCATTCCTGCGATGTCCAGTCCTGCTCCTGTGATGTCCAGCCCTGTTTCTGGGATGTCCTGTCCTGCTCTGAGCTGGGCCAAGGGTGGCTGTGATCAGTTCTCCCAGGAGGAGAGCCATCCTCAGCCACCCAGGAGCTCTGCATGGATCCCCCTCATCATAACTCATGACACAGATAGGAGCACATTAAGGTGCAAACATCAACCCCGTTCTTCAGAACCCCCAACTCTCTCACTGAACTCAAGAAGGGTGGTGGGACAGGGGGTAACCCATCCATGTCCAGGCAACCAGATCATACGGTTTGTAGAGCCAGTCCCCAGGTCTTAAGTCTAGATCAGATTTTAAAACTTGTGTTTCTGGCCTCTGGGACATCCCATGTCAGGGAGTTTCCTGCCTTCCTGTGTGCTGCACGGAAAATAAAACCACTGTCTATGTGCAATGGGATGGTCTCATTGTTGCCTCTCTGTACTGACATCATGCCGTACACTGTCACATCTCTCCTCAGCTGTCCCAGGTCCTCCAGGACATCCGTCATCCCCACATCACCTAACAGCCTCAGCATCTCTGATGAATTTTTGCTACCTAACAGCTGTTATCCCTCTGTTAGAGAAGGGACACTGAGGAAATGAGAAGTCCCATCTCCCACCAGTGTGCCAGAAGCGCACAGCTCCTGCGCTCCCCTCTGGAAGAGGGACCCAGCTCCATGGGGCAGGCTGGGGAGAGCTCCAGTCTCTGCAATGTCCATGGCCTTGGGGACAGGGAGGGGGATACTACAAAATTCAGGCTTGGCCAGGGAAGGTGGGTTGTGTTCGAGGAGTAAGCACTGTCCTGGAGCTGGGAGAGCCCCGATTTCTCACGCCGTCCCAGCTCTATGATGTTACTCCAAGAAAGGAGCCCCATCCTGCAACTTCTGTCCATCTCCAGGACATTCAATAAATGTGCTGTTTGCATTTGGAAAAGTGAGATGGAAAGTAGAAAGCACATTTCCAGCCCTGAAGATTGCAGAGAAAGTCTTAAAAATTAACCTCATTCTTAAAATAAATAAATAAATAGATAGATAGATAGATAGATAGATAGATTAATTAAACTGAGTACTCCTCCCAAAATTAATATTCAAAGCTCTTTTCCTGATTTCACAGAAAGTGCTCTTAGACATCACAGGGAAAGCAATGCTGAATGAGTATTTGAAAGCCTAAGAATCATAGAATGGTTTGGTGAATCAAAGATCATCCAGTTCCAACCCTCCTGCCATGGGCACGGACACCCTCCACTACACCAGGCTGCCCAAAACACCACAACCTGGCCTTGAACACTTCCAGGGATGGGGCAGCCACAGCTTCTCTGGGCAACCTGTTTCAGTGCTTCACCACCCTCAGAGGGAAGAATTTCTTCCTTAGATCTAATCGAAATCTCCCCTCTTTCAGTTTAAAGCCATTGCCCCGTGTCCTGCCACTCCACACCCTTGTCCAAAGCCCCTCTCCAGCTTTCTTGTAGCCCCTTCAGGTCCTGGAAGGCTGCTGGAAGGTCTCCCTGGAGCCTTCTCTTCTCCAGGCTGAACAGCCCCAACTCTCCCAGCCTGTCTCCAGAGCAGAGGTGCTCCAGCCCTCAGATCATCTCCGTGGCCTCCTCTGGACCCGCTCCAGCAGCTCCATGTCCTTCTTGTGTTGGGGACCCCAGAGCTGAAGGCAGCACTGCAGGGGGGATCTCAGGAGAGCAGAGCAGAGGGGCAGAATCCCCCCTTGGACCTGCTGCCCACACTGCTTTGGATGCAGCCCAAGACACAGTTGGCTTTCTGGGATGCCAGCACACATTGCCAGCTCATGGTGAGGTTCTCACCAACCAAAACTCCATCACTTACCAACCAAAACTCTCATCAAAGAAACTCCACACTCCGTAGGTCTCCAGGTGCAAGTCCTTCAAATCACCCTGCTTGCCCCCATGGCTCTCCA